CCATGTGAAAAACAAAAAACAAAGTTCTTGACTCCTGGTTCAAGCTGATTCAGCCATTGTAGTGATTAAGTCTCCCAGAATTTGAGAGGTCCCAGGCATCACTTATCTGAGGTTCAGCCACTTTTTAGGATATATTTATTCGCAAGCAATATGCTCTGGGGAAGAAGAGGTGAGCCAGGGGCCTGCTTTATGTGCACTGAGCTGCCATAGAACAAAAAGGAGACTCCTGCCCAAAATGCTTGCAGTAGGTGATGGGTGGCAGAAGGAAGTGCTGAGCTGGTACGGCTCGGCGTGCTGGGCAGCGGGGTTACCCAGCTGGTCTCTTGCAGAGTTCAGAATATACTCAGGGTATAAAGCTCTTACTGCTCTCACAGTTTTACTCTGCTAGCAGGATCAGGAGAGATCTGCAAAATAGGGTCACATTTGCTTTTCTATCAGAATTTTACATAATATTTTCATAGTTATGGTAATAACCTAATAATTTCTGTAAACCCAAAACATTTTATTTACCTATCTACTGAGCTTTTGTTTATCCCTTGCTTATTTACAGTTGACAGAGTACATGAGTCCTAAGGCAGTCCAGGCATTTTCTTTTTCTTTTGCAAAGGCCAAGTAGTCTCTTGATTCAAGAAAGTTGAGAAACAGAGCTCAGTGTATGTCCAGGCTTTGTTCTCTCTTTTTGACTGCTTGTATCTCTTATGATTACATTTCTAGGCATATTTAGAAGGTGATTGTGATTTAGTTGCAAAATGTTTCTATTTTCTTTGATGACTGAGTGTGGATGTGGTGGTGTTTCTATAATTTCTGTAACTCAGGTTGGGTTAATAACTATTTTGCCAAGTGAACACGGCACCACGGGAAAGCAGCTTTTCTCGTTCAGCACTGTCAACACCACACTCTGTACTACCCTGCTACATGGCCTTGGTGGTTTACGCAGGCAGGATTTAGAGGTTGTGCAGTGGAGCCTGAGGTGAGTGTGGTATTTCACTGGTTTGGCATAGTTTGTCTAATGAACTAGAGCTGCCACAGAAGGTGCCGTGATCTAGTTTGACTGTGGACTGCGTCTCAGGCATACACTTCATTCCTCTCTGCAAATATAAGCTTGAGACTGAAGAGGAAGGAGAACCTGGCCCAAATGGCAGTAACAGTGTAATTTTGCAGACGCCCTGCTGTAGCCCTCCCCTTGGTTTGGTGAGTGTCACTTTGGTGGCATTGCATTCCTTGCAGGGTGGAAAGCCAGGACATCTTAGCAAAGCATGAGCCATGGGATCCAGTAAACATTGTTAACTGGGGTAACCCTCCTTCCATGTGGAAGGTATCCCTAACAGTGAGCTGGCTGCTAGCCAGGGGGGCCTTGTTTTTGGGGGAGCTGGAACAGTCTACCCCATAAGGGGTTTAGAGGAGCTCAGTGTGGTTGGCTGCCGCAGGAGACTGAATGTTCACTGGTGGCCGCCCCACCCGTGTGGGCAGTGAGCAGAAACAGGACAGGAGGAGGGAGGCAGGAGAAAGAGAGACTGTCACAGTAGTAAAGAAACAGAAATGTATCAAAGATTAGACAGGCAAACAGGCTGGATCGTAGCAGGTGCCTCATCATGAGAAATCATGGAGTTGTGGTGGAAAGAATAAATGTGCAGAAGCAGCAGTAGCAATTCAGGATTTTCTGTAGCTAGAAAAAGTGACTCTGAGCTAGAAGTGCTTGAGGCAGTGGAAGAGCTGGGGATAGCGCCCCGAAAAGCTGATGCCTGTGCTAATGCTGTTCACATAAACATCAGTCCCTTAGGACACTGCTGAACTTTTATGCTGTGATGAAAAAAACAATGTGCGAAATGACAAAAACAATGGGGGAAATAAGTGATTACCTCAGGCTTGTTACAAGGTTTCATTAGATTGAAAAAATTCTGATTAAATTGTATTTAACTAAGACTGACCAAAAGGACCATTGTTTTGTAGTAGCATTAACCACTGACAAAAAACAAACAAGAGTTTGGTTAATGTGTTTGAGTTTAATAATGCAAATGGTAATAGAAAATTACTTGCAGCATTGACTGCTTTCAGTGTTGTGATGGAAAAAATTTACAATGCTTGGAAATGTAATTATTGAAGGTGATTATAATTTTGGCTTCAGTTAAATCGTTTTCTTTCGAAATATAACACTCTTCACTCCAATGAGATTATTCATAACTTATGTATTACACTTGACTTAATTGGCATATGGTGTAATTTAACCCCTCTCAGAAACATGATTTATGTGCTTTGTTCTAACTGATCTATTAAACGCACCCTTGTTTTGTGTTGATTGTTGCCAATTTAGGTGAAGTGATTTCAGTTTGCTCTGTCCTGGCTTCTCCTTATCTGATCACTGCCCTGCCTTTTATTATTCAACAAATGCAGTTATGTTGAGGATGTGTGATAAAGCTTATTGAAAACGTAATGCCAATTTCTCAGAATCAGAGAACTAAATGCGTAATGATTGTATTCATCAAAATAATGCAGTTGATTCTGAGACTTTTTATAGAATGGTTAATGTGCTGATTTTAAGCATTTCGAAAATCATGAGTTTGGTATTTCTGAATTAAGCAAGCTGGGCTTTCTAAAAAGAAATCAGCTTCTTAGTGTGCAGTAGGAAAGCAGACATTAAAAAAAAGCTCATATTTAATACACCAAGGAATGCATTAAAATTGTCAGTTTTTAAAACACTGATTTGTGTTATAATAAAAGGATTATATCAGGGAAAGGCCAAGATGCCTTTTTAGTTTCCTCTGTTTGTTCCAGATGGATGAAAAAGAGAAAAAAGATCTATTGGGGAAAAAGCCACACCCATGAAAAGGAGGAAGGATTCCAATCTGTTATTGTTATTATTATTAGGAAAATACGGTTTAAATAGGCAAATCTTGTTTCTAAGCTATTCTGAAGGTAAATGTGAACTCCAGTAGTGCTGTGAATGAAGGCATAACTGAGAGGTGCAATGAGTGTGTATGTTTGTGTGTAGATAGTTACAGAAAGGGAGGTCTATATCTGTCTTTGTATCTCAGATAGGGACTAGGGTTTTGTACTTGTCTTTAAAGCATCAAGATCAGGTGGTGGAAGGCAGCCATTTGCCTTTCTCATTACATTTTCCTAATTTAATTGGTTCAGTGTGTACCCAGTGAAAAGGTAAGGCTGGCAGCTCTGCTTCCTCCCTGAAAAGAAATGACTGTGGGTGAAACTGAGAGACCTAGAAGATTGTGAATGGTAAGGAAAAGTGAGCAGGGGCTTGTTTGTTTTGTCTTCTAATACATGCTGTAGGAGCATGAAATAGGATGAGCTGATGACATGTGTGGGACAGGCAAAGGAGGTACTCTTTGAGCAGTGATTCATGGAGCTCATTGCTGCAGGGTGTTGTGGGGGCTGAACACTTGCTGTGGTTGAAAACAGGATGGGAGAAATTAACATGAGAATAATCATTGAGGGGGGTTAAATGCAAAGACCTCATCTCTAGCTCAGGTAGTTTTTGATCCTTAAATTGCTGGGACACTTAATTATACCTCCTTGCCCCGTCTTTATGTTTTTCTGGGGTCACCTCCTACTGGCCACTTTAGTGGAGATGGGGCACTGGCCTAAATGGGATTGTGGTCTGAACCCAGGCAGCCGTTCCTGCATGCGCCGGGTGTGCTGCTGAGCGCTGGTTGCAGTCAGCATGTGACTGGTTAGATTTACAAAGGGTTTGGTGAAGCACTGAAGTCTGTAACAAATCTGTGACGTGTCAGTGGTAGCTGTTGTCTGTCTTCTCAGTTTTTCTCACAAAAGATGCTTTGAGCCTTTGGCCAGTTTTGATCTTTCCCGTGACTTCACTCCTTCTTATAATTATTTGGACGCTGCTACTCCCAGAGCTGGAGACTTTTCTAGCCTCACCCAAGCCTGTGGAAGGAAGCACACAAAGACCAGAAGCATGATGGGCCTCTCAAAGCTGATTAGCACTAACGTAAAGACCCGCTGGCTGCATTTTTCTGGAGCAAGGCTGTTGGTTTTGGCTGGCTGGCAGTACTGTTTTGGATCAGCGCTGTTGTGTTTTGTCGAACCATCCTTGTGTTTGCTAAACCCATTGCACATTAGTCATTAATCAACCTCTGTCTCTTCCAGGCACCCCAGCGCACCACTAGGCTAGTCCTCCTGCTCCCCAGGTGCAGGTGTTCAGGTTTTGCCATGGTGACATTTCAAATTGGTTGCAAAGGGAGAGAATGTCTTTGTAAAGGAAGCCAGGCACACAGCACAACCTCTCCAGTTTCTGTTACTGAAAAGTTGAGCACTGAAGATTTCTGTGCATCAGCTAATGTTTGCTTTTATTCCCTGTGTGATACCTTAGGCTGAAAGAGTAAAGTCTTGTTGGTTTTAATTTTATTTTGTGTGCAGGTAGCCACAAACAACAGCTGCAATCATGTTTTAACATTCGTAGCTTAAAAGCATATCCCATCAGTTAAACATGCCTTTAACTTGGGGAAGAGAAATGTGTTTAGACACATCAATACTGATTGGTAAAGAAACCTCTTTCCTTCCCCCGCTAATCAGAGAAAATAGAATACTTTTCCTGGTATTTTCTGTGACCATCTTCTGTAAGAGGAAATTTCAGGTTGTTCTCAGTTTCTTCCAATACTCATTGTGCTTACCATAAAGACAACCCCCTCCCCCCCCCTTTTTTTTAATTCCAGTGTGAGTGAACAGCAGTAAGGAAAGCCTCAAAAAAGCTGGACAAAGCAGAAGGGTGCCCAGGACATGTAAGGAAAGGAGCTGCCACTTCAGAAGTAAGGGACTGAGGAAAGCTTCGTCCCTTGAGTGGTGTTTGAACAGACCAGTGGGGCATGGGCTCTCCATAGTCCTCTGGCTACTCTTACCGATGGCTTGACACCACCAACTCCAGTGCCACGTAAACTTTTCAGATCCCCAGAACTTCTGCCTTTCACAAAGCCACAGATTGACTGACTCCGTGCTATATTTGACCAAAATAAAGTCCATTTTAAAGTCCTACTGCGGTGGCCAAATCCAAACCTGCTGTGAACAGATACAACACTGAGAGGGCCTAAACACTCGCTGCAGCTGGGCTCTGGGGGAGGCTGTGAGGTGCCTGTGTGAGCTTAGAAAAGGACTTGTTGGTTCAAAGATTGTCACGGTCAGAGTGAAGGTGACTGTGGCGCTGGGGGTAGCTGTTCTAAGAAAAACCTTGTAATGTTTCACCTCCGTCTCCAGCTCTGTGCTCATCTTGCTTTTTCATCCAAGCCCACGACCTTCCTACTGGCCACCACTAATTCAGCCACCCCCTCCTCCTCTCGAGGGCAGGCTGAGAGGCATTTTGGTTGCCTGGTTTAGACGCATCATCCCAGTGAATTCTGGAAGAAGGACCCTGGCAGTGTTGGCTAAAAGCGAGGCGTGTGGAGATGGTGGCACTTACACAGGCTGTGGTGCTGCCTGTGCTCAGTTGTCAGAGGGAGAATAAAAACCTGGGGTCCTTGTTTCTCACATCTCTGCCCTGTTTACCACAGTGTGTTTCCTTCTGCTTTCTCAAGGAGATGTGAACTTGCCCTCCTGCACCACCTGACCACCAGATCAATGCAAATGCCGTGACTTCAGCACTTGTACCCACTTTATAAGCACTGGACAGCTGCAGTGATGTTTGCAACACTCATGATATCACTGTTGGGTTTAAGCCAGTGGCCTATTTTATGATTAGGGATTTTGTTTTTCACTGGAACAGCTTCAAGGCTTTTTCGTCGCTAGCTCATGTTTATGCCCTGCACCAGCGAATTGCAGAATGTGGGGAGGAAATGGGTGAGTGGAAGAAGCAGACCGGTCCGTGACAGAGACTGACAGCCAGTCTAGCAAATACTGAGCAAAGCTGATCTCACAAATACTCAGAAGCTTGCTGACACTTTTTTTTCTGAATATGGGAAAACACCAAATGAGCGTTTCTTAGTGAGAGGGCTGGGGCTCTCTGCCCCTTGTGCAACATGCACAAATCATGTTTCCCCCCCCCAGGCTCTTCTGTGGGGATGTGTGCATCCTGAGGGACAGAACAAGCAGCTCCTAAACACAATAAACATTACTCTGTCTGAGTTAGTTTTTACATTTCTGTGTTTTATTTCTTGTTTTCTTTGAAATGACCTGTACCACAAGAATACAATTTATTTAACAGGTTTTTTATTTTTCTTTTTTTTTTTTTTTTTTTTTTTTTTTTAGGAGCAGATAATAGTTAAGTAGATACGGTTTATTTCACTGTCTATAACTCCCTGCATCATTCTCACAGCCTCTGTCTGGCTCCTCCACATAACCCAGCCACAAGAACACGGTGGCCTTTGGCCATATGATTGACTATAGCTTGTGGAAACAAAGTGGAAGCTCTTTTTCTCAGCTCCAATTGGTAATAAAAGCTGAACAAGGTACATTCTAGGGTCTTCCTCAATGACTTTCCCCTCTAATAGCTGCTTACATGTTTCTGGTGCAGCATGTTTTATTTTATATACTTGTAGTAATTAAAAAAAAAAAGATGACTTAGCTTACAAAGAGAAAAATAATGCCCCCTTAGCATGAGCAATACTGCAAGGTTCCGATTGTTGTGGGTGTGTTTCTTGTAGCTTCACGGTTTTGCTGCCAGGTGTAATGCCCAAGTTTCCCCAGAAACCTAATTCTGTGTGGTATTTTACCTTTTCTTTTAATTGATCCCCATGAAATTTGTTTTGCATTACAGGCCAGACACCGCTGTTCCCAGAGAAGAATGTGCCCAAAACAAAAGAGCTGGTCACCTGGGAAGAATTGCCTTTTGTAGTAGCTGACGGGTATGTGGTTTCTGTTATCCACACATGCAAATCAGGGGCTGGAGCTGCTTTTACCATCGCTGCTGGACGTAGGCTTCATGCTTATTCACTGTCACTGACACACTTACCTCTACTGCTTTGCTTTGCTTTTCTTTAAGTCATAGAGCCCATTTGTGTCCCAAGGCTCAAGCTCCATCATCTGTTGCCCCATGTAAAAGGACAGCAGTATGGCTCTGACTCTGTGGCTCCTATCAAATGAACGGCATAAAGAGCACTGACCTGGAACCAATTTCCTAGTTCATGTCTCAGCTTCCACATCCCCAGACCTTTTTGTAAGAGACTGTGAGCATTCAGAGACCTAAGCAGTTGCTGAAGCCTCATTTCCTACTTCAAAGTGCCCTGAGAAGACTACATTAAGATGTTACCCTTCTCTGCACATCCAGCTCACTGCGTAGCTGAACATGCTTTTTGGTTGTGGCAGCATGATAGTATTAGTGATGCACAGCAGATCAGAATAACTGGGAAGAGATGCATGTGATTCCTGCACTGGTATGAAGGGCCCAAGAGACCTGACCTGGTTCCCAATCTGATGGCACAAGCCTTTTAAGGGTTAAATCTAGACAGGTGTTTCTGTCCCAGTTCCTGGGGAAGAGTTTGCATTCCTTGCTTAAAGAGATTAATATATGTTAATTACTGTCTGGTTCAGTTCCCATCCTATTTCAGAAGCAATACAAACATTTCCAGGCATACTATCTTCAAGCAGTGGGGGATATCTAGATGGACTCCAAGGTTATGCAGCTGTAATGGAGAAAGAAGGTCCTGGAAAAAAAAATGCATTTGGTATCTTTATGTTGTTCTGCCAAGGCAGGAGTTGCCTGTGTACCACAGCCCTACTCTAAATAGCCAGCAGTCTCTGTGGGCTAGATTAACTTGGCAGCTCTCCATAATCATGTTTTATAGATAGTCCTTCCTCCCTGTTCTGGAAAGCAGTACCAAGTCCAAATGCAACAAAGCTGGAAGAGCCCTTTTTTGGTTTGGTTTTTTTTTTTTTTTTTTTTTTTTTTTTTTTTTTTTTTTTTGTATTTTGTAAGTGACCTTTCCAGCCAGGGCCCCACGGAGTAAGAATTGCTTCTTAGGGTCTTCTTTTCAGCCTATTTTGCATAGCAGGTCGAGACACAATGTGCTGTGGCTGAGTTGGGTGGAACTTGGCAGGGAATCAACAGTGGTCAAGTGAGTCAAACTTACAGGCGATAGCACAACCCAGCACATTTGTGAGAGCATCTATGCCACAGACAGAAACAGCTGTCAGAATGCAGCACATGGCAAGTTGGCTCTATAGTGGTGGAGTGCATTTCACTCTGGTCCCTCAGTCACAGATGAGTACAGGGATCATGAGCACAACCAAAAGTGTCTCGTTTTCTCTCCAGCTGCCTCTAGGAGGGAGCTGGGGAGAGAAGCACAAGTATCTCTTCAAAGCACAAGGCCACTGTGTAATTGCTACCGCTGTGAACATGGCAGCAGTCCCAGCTCCCATGTGCCTTCTGCCCCTTAGGTCTCTATTGGTTTACTAATGTGCCTGAAGCAAGACTGAATTTCTTTATTGACTGAGAGTAGCTACGACTGTGTAGTGAGGGAAAACTCAAAAGAGATGGAACTGAACTCAAGTACCAGGAGCTGACTGGCTACAAGAGCTGAGCAGTCAGCATCAGTTAGTGCCCCAGCCTCTGAGCTAGCCTGGGCTTCGGTCTGCAGTGCTGACAGCCCTGCTGTGACACATCCTGCTCCAGGAGAAAACAAGCATCCAGAGTCTCCCTGACCACACACCTCAACCCTGGTTTAGAAGGCTTCCTGCTGGGGGCAAGTTATTCTTCTGCCACACCACCCTTCTCCTGGCCTAGCCAGGAAGGGATGGAAGCTTGAGGGGAACAGAGGCAGTACAGCTAGTGGTATCCCAAATGTAGCTCGGAGGCTTTTTCTCACCTCTCCTGCCATGCCATAGACAATACAGTCAGGTTTCATCAGCTCAAGCTGGCTCAAAACTGACCTAGAAAATAAAGTCTCAGGGAATGCCACCAGCCAGTTTTGTCAGTCACCCACCTTCCCCTCTGGCTACTGGGAATGCAGCAGTTGTGTCTCAGGCAGCAGATCCAAACCAGGGCTTGGAGACAGCGGGGACCTGGCTACATGAGGAGAGTAAATAAACATTCCCCCACTTTTTCTCACACCACCTCAAGGTCAGGTATTTGCTTTCCCATCACTGAGAGAATCTCTTACCAGGCCCAGGTACAATCTCTGCTAGCTCTTTTGCTGCTGTTGAGGATAATGGGATGAGGCAGGGGAAGACAGTAGTTGGGATATTGGGAGTTTTCGTGCCACCCTCTAATTTATTTCCCTAGGCTGCCACAAAAAAGCAATCTCTCAGGCTCAAGAGCTGCTGCCTCCAAAAAGCAGTGCCCTTGATTCCTAACTAGCATTTGGCAATAAGCCTAAGTCTCTGTGGAGGCAAAGAGCTATCACTTTAATGAAGTCTAGGAAAGCCCTGGTTTGGGGTGTATTTATACTTGGGCAGTAACCATGCAGACAAAGCCTTGTGTTCTCTGCCACAAGGAACAAGTGGGGAATGGCACTCAGCTGAACTGAAGAGGCAGGTTTGATACACTACAGGGTGAAAAGTGTGGAAGAATTGTAGTTAGCACCACATAGGAGAGGATGCAGAGATTATCAAGTCAACCCAGCACTGAAGCATAACATCGGGCTCTTTTCCCTTTTCCTTGCCATCTGGAAAAGGAGACTTGCATTCTCTCAGGGACATACATCCTACCTCTTCAGGGGCCTGCGGGGATTGTACATGGGAGGGACTAGCCAGGCGTAATGACACACTGTACAAGGTCGCAGAATATCTTACACAGTTAGGAGCATCTTTCCCAGTAAGAAGTGGGGCCTGTATGTACAAGTGTTAGCTGTCGCTAGAGGAGCCTGGGAGGCAGCCGTTTTGATCAGGAGAGGTCCAGCAGCGCTCTTGTCCAAAGGAGCATCTGCTCTGCTGTTTGTTAGAGCCAGAAAGGTGGCAAAAAGAAGGACCCTCTAACTGACCCCTCACAACACCAGCAGATAAAATTTATATTGACTCTATTCTTCCTCTCTTCCTGCTTCTGCCCCCATCCCCCCTCCAGCACTGGCGGAGGGAGCTGGGGAGCAGGCGGCCTGGGCAGCGCTGAGAGCATCACTGCTCAGAGGGGCTGTGCCCCGATGACCGCCTCAACAAGTGCAAGAACATAGTCTGGTATTTCCCACAGAGAAAACGAACAAAAAAAAAAAAAAAAAGAGAAACAGGTGACTGATTAAAAGAGTTTCCCCCCTCCTGTACACGAGATTCTGCAGTCACGCCGACAGATAGACATTAAATAATTCTTCCATAATAAATGATTGGAGATAAAAGCCGGCGGTGGCTGCTGCTGCTGTTTGGATTGCTCCATTGTCTGCATCTTTGTTTCTAGTTTGTTCCCCGGCCACTGTCGGCTGGCACTGGGGCTGTCAGACCTTTGCCTCTAGCATTTCTAGGAAGAGTTTATGCATGGGAACCTTGCCCTGCAGTTTGATGCTGTAGAAGTGCTGCACAGCTTTGGCGGCCGTCTGCCGCAGGAGGGGCAAGGTCAGGAGCAGCTTGCCTGCTCGCCGGGGCTCCTCGTTGCGCTGACTCAGCTCGTAGTCCTGCAGGGCTTCGTGGAGAAGGTCCTGGAGTTTCTGCACTGCATCCATGTCCTCTATGTGCATGGAGTCTGGAGGGAGGGAGAAAAGACAGCAAACAAAGTCAGACATGAGAAAGAAAATCCTTTATGGTCCTGAAGCTAAAGATGCTTTCTTCTGGTTTGGTTTGTTTTTTTGTTGTTTGTGTTTTTGGTTTTTTTTTTTGGGGGGGGGGGAGGTGGGGGGGGGGGCTTGGAGGGTGGGACAGAGGTGGTTGTTTTTTTTCTTAAAGGGAAAAAACCCACCTTGCTGGCAGATGTTGCTGCTGCTGCTGTGAAGTTTGACATCAGCCCAATGAGTTGGCCCTAGCACTGCAGGGACAGTTAAGTTTGCCAGGGGTAGGTGACACATTGTGCCGTGTGCTGCCCATTTTGCCAGCCACCCCAAGGCTGTGCAGGGGTCAGCTGGGGGCCTTTGTGACTTGCACATTCACTTGCCCTCCATGCTCCTTATGGGGAGAGTCACCCTGCAAGGGGCAGCAGCTGCTGTGCTGCCGCTTGGGAGCAATCTCATTAAGAATAATTAACACTGCTATAGCGCTTCATCTGTCTAAACTGCCTAATTGCTGTGCAGCTGCTCAGGGTGTCAGCAAGACAGAAAAGCCCCAGTAGGTCACAACCAGTGTGCCCAGGGGTGATGCCAGCCCCACCTTTGTGCATATGCCCCTGTTTTCAGAGATTGCCAGCAGCTGCTCAGGGAGCTTCCTGCTTCAGTAAAGGAAACCAGCACCTTCTGCAAGGCCTCTTCCCTTAGGCTGCCAGTTGGATTTCTACAAGCTGCCGGAGGGGCTAGCCGGGTTTGTGAGGCTAGCACAGCTTCTTGGTGTGTCTCTAAGGCAAAGGCAGCTGGTAGTGACCCAGGCCAGGGTCGAGCTGAGGAGCCCGAGTTGAACACAGGCTGCTCAACTTGTGGGTAAGCCATAGTGCCAGAGGGCAGCACCGAAGAGGCGAGGTTAGATTAGAGAAGCTAACCAGGCACAGCATCACTTAAGGTTTTCCTCCTTTTCATCTTGCTGATACTTGCTTCTTTCTTACAACCCTGACAGAGCTGGAGACACTGTTGTGTTGCCTTGTCTTCATTGTTCAGAGACTTGTAATCGATACTGAATCCATTGATAAAGATTCCTGCCGCAGGGCAGTGAATCCAGAAGCAGCAAAGGGACACGACGACAAACACACGTGCACATGTGTAGTTGCACTGTCTGCCGCTGCAGCTGGGCTTTGCAGTGTGGCAGTGCTCTGGCTCAGCACACACACATACGACACAAATGTGAGGACACGGGTTCCTCGGTGTGACAGCAGTGAAGGGAAGGAAAGCTGGCTGAAGCACCAAAATCTCTCAAGAAGTATGTCATCTCTCTGGAGAGCACAACACCAAATTAGAGACTGTGAATTTCATAAGATACATGTACAGTAAATGCTATTTATGAGGCATGATTTATAAAGTATTACAACAGTTGGGAAAATATTATGTCTGGCAAGAAAGCTGTTTAAGAAGCTGTTTAGAAGGAATGCACTAATTAGAGGATATTAAAGGGTTGTATTTCCAAGAAGCCTAATGAGGAAGGATTGTTCTTGCTGCATTTGCTTTCTGTATCCAAGAGACCAGGCAAAGAAGCTCAGAGAAGGGCTGGTGGGTCATCATGGTGACCCAAGCTAGCCACAGAGGTTGATTCTGAAAAGTAGGGAGGAAGAATCATGTTGCCAAGTCAGCTTGGCAACTTCTCCCAGCCAGGTAGCATCTCTGGAAAAATTTCCATGCACCACTCAGAAGTGAATGGGTTGTTTCCTGCCAAGTTCCAGAAGTCATTTTGGAGACTAGAAGTATCAAGAGCTGGAGCTTGGAGAGAACTGTCCTCCAGCTTTTCTGTTTAATGTCCTTCTGGCTAGAGGCACAAGGGGGAGAAGTTATCACAGCCCATCAGAGTTTGCAGATCCCAGCAGGTACCAGAAGCATCAGGCAATGAGCCATGCTTCAGGTCAAAGTGGGTGCTCTGGTTTTGGGTACTGACGCTGCTGTACAGTAGACAGAGCCCCAGAACTGTGCCCTTCTGCCACCTGACTTCTCTAAGATGATAAGCCTTAACAGCACTAAATAACTAGAGATATACAGGGAGAGGAATTGGGGAAATTAAGATCAAAGTCTGCCCCACCCCCCCCATCTTTACTGAAAGAGGCTCAAAATTGGCAGCTGACTGCAAAAAAATAAAATAACATTGCAGGATTAATTTCCTTGCAATCCATCAGTGAGCTGGTGTCAATGGCATTGATAAACTGTTAATTACAAAATCAATAGCTATGAATTTTTACAGCTGTCAGAGCACTGAGGTAGAGGGAGGCTGCCTGACCATGTCCCTGAGGGTCAGCTGGCCTAGAAGTCAAAGCTTCATGTCAGGAGCCCTTCTCCAGCACTGCTGCATGGGGTACAGGGCAGGTGTGAGAATGGACAAGGCTCACTGCCTCCCTCACCTGACTCTTTTCTTGCAGCTTCTGGCAGCAGCAGGAGGAGCAGGGACCTCACAGGACCCATTAGAACAGAATTTGCTACACATCCCCTTCCTAGATTCAAACCTTGTTCGCTCCATCTCAGCACAAAAGTGCATTGGGGATAAAAAAGGGGAAATAAGGTTTGGCCAGTCTGGGATGTCCTTAAATTCACATGTGCTGTATGCTAACCTGGAGGGCTCTTCAAGACCCAGGTTGATCAATTTGAGGAAAGAGGACCTAGGAATGCCTGAGAAGGGACTACTGGCTCTGAAGGATAATAAGTTAAGTCTACAGCATCCCTCCTCTGTCAAGAATGGGTGATAATATTGTTGGGACTTGCCTGCTGCTCTGGGCTTTAAGAATTCATTTCTCAGCTCTCTAAAATGCACTTACTAAAGAATTATCTTTGCCAGTCCCAGCAGGTGTGTCCTTGGTGTGTTACACTGAGGACTCAGAGATCAGCCACGGCTCTGGCAAGGTCGGTCCATTGTCAGCTTCTCCTCTAGTGAAGAGTGAGTGAGTTCCCACTTCTGTTTTCATTTATTTTCATTCCTAGAACCAAAGGGTCAATATACACAGGGCTGCATGGAAGAGAGGAAAGTCCCTAGAAGCTCAGCTGTATGAGCAATTACGCTCAGCAGGGATAAGGGAAATTCAGGAATTTATCTATATGGGAGGCAAGGGAGAAAGTAGATCTAGGCAGCACAGGTGCTAATCTAAGTGCTCAGCTTAAAACCCTGTCTCTGACCCAAGGGAGCTGAGACCTGGCCCAGAGGTAGTCTGCATTCCTACCATTTTAGGAATCAGCTGTTTGCATGCAAGCGCATACATGCAGGCTCTGCAAGTTTACTCCATGTCAAAAATACACTAAGAAAAATAACTTACATTAAAAGAATGTGAAGGTTACATTAGAAAAATACACTTACCCTTTTCTAGCTTCCTTATGTGTGTGTTGTGAGAGGCTTTAATTACATTAAAAACAAGATCTTGTGCTTTAATATGTTTTGATACGAATAATAAAGCAGGATTTTTGTGGATTATGCTCCTACACAGCTGCACTTCCAGCTGCACTAGTTGAAACCAGTGAAGTAAGAATGGCTCATCCCATCCAGCTGAGAACATGCTTTGGCCTGTGTCCCCCCGCCCTTACCTTAGTTTCTTTACTCCACAGCACTGGAAGCAGAACCCCAAAGCAGCTGATGCGTGTTGGTTGTTCTGCTCTGTCTTTGCTCAGTGTTTCTCCACTCCTGATACACACTGTCCCTTAAGGCTTACCCTGGACTCAGTCCTGAAAGCATAGTGAGCAACATCAGCAGAGTGCTTCTGTTGCACGGTGAAGAACTTGACAGCACCAAAGCTCAGATCCTGCAGTGTCTCCACTCATAGCATGGGACAGATCAAGTCCCGCTGTGGCACTTATCCTGACACCCTGTCACAACCGCCTCAGCCTCTCTGAGGAGCCCTTCTGCCTGTTTAATCCTGTGACCTTCCTGGTAGACAGGAGGCAGGTTCTTTAACAAGAGTTGATGACATTGCCAAAAGCCACCATCCCACAATCGAGAGAGGCCAGCCTTGGCCATCTGCCCATCCTGGTTCAGTGGCAAAGTAGAGGCAGCAATTAGAGCTAAAAAGGCAATATATGAGAAATTGAAAAAGAGAACTAGATAGCAATTTATATGAATCAGAAGTTATGAAGTGTAGAAAATCGATAAGGGAAGTGAAGGACATCAGAGAAAAATCCATGACTGGAAGGTCTAAGGACAATAAAGAAGTTTTATAAATATTTAAGAAATAGAAGAAAAATGGCCATTTGTAGCTGGGCTCTTTTCACCTCGAGATGATTAAACTATTAACAGCAGTTCAGAGGAGACAGAAGTTCTCAGTGAGTGTTTCTGTCCTGTTTAGAAAAAAGAAGCATTGTGTACCTGTGTTATATGAAGATGATGAAGACTTCTTAGTCTGTTGTTTATGCAAGAAGATGTTAGACATCTATTGGGGCAAACTGCACAAAAATCATCAAAGCTGGATAACTTGTCTTTAAGAGTTCTAAAACTGCTGGCTGAGGCCCATCTAGGGCAGATTAATGATTAACAAGTCTTCGTGTTTTTGAGAAATTGAAGATGACTGGCAAAGTTCAATGATGCACATATTTTCCTAGGTCTTATCTGGTAATTTCTATGCTAGCGTGATGTGAACCAGGGCAAAATAAAGAGGGGAAAAAAAATTAGAAAGTGACATTCAATTGAGACTTAGAAGATGGTATTTAGAAGAGGTGTAGATGTGGAGCTTAGGAACATGGTTTAGTGTTGGACTTGGCAGTCTTAGGATAACAGTTGGACTTGATGATCTTAAAGGTCTTTTCCAACCTAAGTGATTCTATGATTCTACTGCCAGTCAACACGACACTTTGGAATAGAGGTCTTGTCAAACAAACCTGATTTCATTCTCTGATGAGATTACAAGTTTGCTTGATAAAGTTAACTGCATAGATATAATAGACTTAGGCTTTTATAAGGCACTTGGCTTAGCACCACAGGACATTCTCATTAAAAAATTAGCACTATGCAATATCAATAAAGCACACTTTCAATTGATTAGTAACTGGCTAGATGACAGATCTCAAAGTAGCTATCAGTGGTGAATCATCCCTGAAGTTGGAGTCTTCTAGTGGAAATCCACAGGGATCAGTAAAAAAACAGATGCTACTCAACATTTTTATCAATGAGCTGTAAGTAATTTCTTTTTTATTCTACATTGCTGCTGCTAAGAAGTACTGATGGCAAAGAGGAACAGAATGGTGTAAAATGGTGAGGGCAGGGCAGCCTCACAGTATTCTGGACCACTTGCTTATACTTGAAGTAATATATCTATTGCCAAGGAATGCAACTATAGGAACTTTATCGTGTCAAGCTGTCAGGTGTAGAAAGACCTGGCCTCATAGGGCACAGCTCAACAAAAAACAGTATCTGAAGGCTGGATTCAGGCAAACTGGCATTGAAGATATGGTATCTTTGTTTTTTTTAAAAGTGAGAGAACAATTAATTACTAGAGTCAGCTGCCACTGAATATGTAGATTCCCCCCTCTTTTAATCCCTTCAGCTCCACATGGGTTGCCTTTCTGGAAGGCAACTTTAGCCAAACACAGATACTGCTGGGCTGCAAGGGTGAATTCTGTGACCTGCACGATGCAGTTAAGCAAGATCTGATGTGAGACAATGAGACTCAAGGGATGTAGAGGGAGCCCTCCTCACACAGTAGGCTTTAGCAGTTTCCCTTGTGGAAGGGACTCCTGAGCAAATACGCATCTGGCTTTTGTACAACACCAGTGCAGACACAGCACCTCTTGTGTCTCCCACAGCCTGCTGGTTTGAGGGCTGAAGCCCTCCCCAGACTGAGATGGAAGGCACTGGGCTGAGGGCCCTGGCCTTTCTCATCTTCTTCACAAGAACACAACAGGCAACATCAGGCTTCTACCAGCAAGTCTTATCCTCTACCATCCAGATCCATACTGTCTCCCAGTTAAAAGGGGATTCAGTGTCTGTGACCACTGAACATCTCCAAGACACGACCAGGCAGCCCCAACCCCATAGCTTTTTGTGGAATTTGAAATTGGGACCAGGGTTTCCCCATTTTCTGCAACTGACCAACCCTACTGAGGTGGATGCAGGCATGGCCTGCATCCCCTTTTCTGAACTCACAGCACTGGAGTCAGCTTCCTAGTGGAGAAGAGCTCCACAGCCTTTTCTTCTACTGCCAGATGTCAGCAGGCAGCCCACCCCTACCTGGTTCCACTACCTAGTACCGGGCCAGAGCACAGTTGGGGCTCTAGCAGCAGCAAGCCTCATTGCTCCCTGCTCTCCAGCTTAGGTCCTGCTCTGCAGACAGAGAGGAACTTTGAGGATGTTGAATGGCACAAGCAGAACACAGTCTTGGGCAGTAGGCTCTAGTTTCCTCCCAGGCCGGATAACAGTGTGGGCATTGACTGCCTGATTGCGAGGCTAGCTGGGCCAGGGCTGTACCTGAGTTGGCAAGGGCCAGAGCTTTGAGCGTGACAAACTCCTCCTTTTCCACCTTGAGCTTCTTATAACGGCGCACCAGTTGTAGGATGGCCAGGTAGAGCTCCAGCAGCCCTGTCAGACGAGAGTGCTCTTCATCCATGATGTAGTCCTCAGCATAGACGAGCTTGTCCTCATATGGCAGGGAGCGGTACACAATGCCTAGGATGAGGATTTCCATCCAGGCACTCTGCAGGAGGCTCATCTGGTCCCCAAGGGAGAGGTTGGAGAACCCTGAAAGGGCAAAAGACAAGCAGGGTCAAATGGGTCCGCAGCAAAGCCTCTAGAAGCCTGGGGTCCTTAGTTTTCCTGGGATCCACCCCAAGCGCTCTCTCCCATTGGCCTGCTGCTTTCAAAAAAAAAAACCAAACAAACCAGCTTACTAAAGTGACCCTGTCTTTGTGGCAATCAGTACATGTGGACCTTACCATTCTCTTTGCTCCCATGCCCACCTGCAGCCTCAAAGAGGAGTTCTGATGCTCTGATTGCTTTGCTTCTTCTATAGCAGCAACCATTTTGTACCACATCGTCCTACTCACTGTTCCTCTGGCGTTTTGTACTGCAGCCTATTTAGTTTGCCCCAGCTGACCAAAGAGCAGAGAAGATCTCCAGATGGCAGAAAAGAGGGATTGTGATGGGATAGGAGGGAATGACACAGGCCTGAATTACAAGCATACCACAATCTCTCATTTTGGCCAATATGAGAAAAGGTCCTGCCACAATAGAGCACTGAAATGTATTCAAAAGCTGAATACATTTGTGAACAGAATCCTCTTGTATTCCCTATCACTTCCTGAGCTCCACACCATCAGCTTTCTGCACCTCACAGCCAACAACTCTACCCAGCATCAAAAGTACCTTTACGGTGCCATACAAGTACCTAAATCACAGCCAAACCCAGTAGCAATGGAACCAGCACCCAGCAGGGCATCAAGTCCTTCTCCTTAAACCCAGAAAGAGCAATCACCACCTGGAGATAGGCCCTGGCAGCCCCAGAGCCCACCTGAGAAAGTGGAGAGGCCAAAACACAGAGGCACTGTCTGCCTTGAGGGAAAAACCAAAAAGTGCACGGGGAGGAAAGCTGTGTCTGTTATGTCCTCTGTACCACGTACCCTTGAAGGCCAGACCATGAAAGATCCTGGGAGACAGGCACTGTGCAACAGCCGTTACAGACAGGGATGCCAAGCACAGTGTGTTGGTCCCATCTAGGCAGCTCCTGCCCACCACGGGCAGGCAGGGACTGTGCTTTTTTGACAGATCCTTGCGTCTAAAGGTTCCCAGGGCTGTGAGAGAACGGGCCACTTGGGCACCCCGCAGCTGGGGGAGCTGATGCTCCACCAGCCTCCCCTGCCAGTTTTCTCCCCAGACACTTATTAAGCCTCAGGGCTCACCAAGAGGCCCGTGAGCTCATTAACCCCTGTGCAGAAGCCTCCCAGCCCCGCTGGCGTGTGCTAGGCTCAGGGGGACTCCATTATCCCACAGCCCTCCCTGATCACAGTTCTTGGCCCTGCATCGGGGCCCAGGTAGCCAGCCACCATGATGATCATTTGATTTCTCTTGTTATCAAGTTGGCAATTAACAAAAGAGCTGATGATTGCTATATTGACTGACTGTGGGTTCTCTTTTTCTATCTGCACTATCTCAGCTGGGGAAGGGAAGGCATAAGGGTGGGTTAGTGGTATTTATTTATCACTACGCCATGTTTTGTGTTTGTGTTGCCAGGGGAAGCAAAGGGTGATAATGGCCTGGCAGCCCTTGGACATCCAATTTCCCTTATCAGGCCACTGAATAGAAAAGAGGCCCCAGGCCACATTAATTAACAGATACCAATCAGCTGTCACGTGTTGTGTGTGCAAGGTCTGAGGGGAGCAGTGGGTGGGAGGGAAGAATCAATAAACCATTGGGGAGGAGTGCCAGAGGGAACAGCTAAAGAGGAGTCCAGGCTACTGGGGAGAAGAGCTGCAAATCCAGCTCCATGGCTGTGAGATTGATTCCTGCACAGCACAGCCTGTGTTCCACATAGCCCAGCACCTGGTGAATCCCACCCCTTGCTCAGGCTGTAACTACTTCAGGGGTGCCTCGTCCTTTTGCCCCTTACCTCCCCCAGCCAGTGCTCTGCAGCCCTCCTGACTGAGTCTAAGTGCAGGCTGATGCAGCTCAGAGGCTTGGGATCCTGCCTCCCCAGGTCTGCTTGCTGCACAAGGAACTGATGAGATTAGCCCCGAGACAGGGGTAATGGTGCTGTGCACAGCCACTGTCACAGTCTCTAGCATCTGGATTCTTTCCTTTGGTCACCACTCTCCTAGCTCTAACCAGCATTTAGATTGCCACCTTAAATCCAGTTTTTGGGTCAGACACGTGGCTTTTCTGCATCTTCATTCCCCATCTGGATTACAAAAGGGGTTATGCCATCACCTCACCACAGTCTGCCAACGAAATGTTTAAGATTGAGAAACAGTTGTGTAGTAGAGTGAGAGGATCCAGGACAGACATGTCCCTCACAATTCTCTGCTGGAGAATAAAGTAGAAAAAATTGACTTAACCCTATCAACAGCCTGTACATCCAGCATCTCTGTTAATCACTCTTCCCCAGAGACAGTTATAGCAGGTGGGAACTATACAGGAGAGACCATGCTGTGCCAAGGAGAACAGAACCAGCTGAACTTGCCCTGCCCACCTGGGAAAGCCCCTCGCCAGAAGCACTCTCAGGTAGCCAACAACTCCAGCTCTGGCAGGCGGGTGTGAGGGAGGGAGTGCTGCAGTGTCAAGTCTGGACTTGAAACATCTGACAGAATTGGGACCCTTTTCCTCCAGTGTTTATAAATGTAGAATGCAGGGGCTGGAGGACTGTGCCTTTACCACCTTTATCATTGCAGTCTGCACAGACAAGGGAAGATCATATAACCTGGTATCTCCCATGCTACAAAATTTGAGATCAGGAAAGGTAAATGCTAATTTCACCCGGTCAAGATCACAGGCTTGCTATTATAGGTTTATAACACCGGAGAACCTCTAGTTGTGAAATTCAACTGCCTCGCCATCTTACAGCTCCCAGGAATTGCTAGAATCCAGCCCTTTTGCATTCCTGAGCTGTTTGATGGCACAGCATCCAGAAAGTGCCCTTAGCGATCTGTTTCTTGCTGCTTTTCTCAGGTCTGATCCTGACAGGTGCACAATACTCCACTGCCATCCCTAGGCTCCCAAAAGGGGAGCCTCTGTCTCTAGCACAGAGCTGCATGCACGTTTCCTTCCTTCCCAGGTACAGGTTGAGAAAAGCTGCTTTATTTGCAATAGATGATGTGACATTCAGGTTTTTTTTTTTTTTGTGATTTTTTTTTTTTTTCAGTGGTTTGGCAGTGGGAGCTCCCAGAATTACAAAAAAAAAAGTCACATAATTTGTGGCAAGTGAAGTTCATAATCTGTTAATTTATTATCATTTCTGTCATCCTGGAGGGCCATTAGCAGAGGTAATAAAGGGAGATGTAATTATAGGATCTGAGGCCACTCCAGACACAGCTGCTGTCACTCCACTTGCCATATTTCATTCTGTTCTAGTACTATCGTCTTCCTAGTGAGAACAGCACAACAGCTACCCTGGGAGAGCCTTCATTGTCACCCCTCGAGAGAAGTCTTGTCTCCCTGCATCAAGGCACGCAGAAAAGGTAGATGATGTTCAAAGACAATTAGCATAGGGGGGAGGGTGAGTAGGGAGGGTGAGTGGGGAGGGGGCCTCATACAGAAGGGGACAACTCCACATTGGCTGAGCGTGGCTTTTCAGCTAATGGCTAATAAGGCCATTGAGCTAATAACATTTGCTAAACACCATTAAATCATGCTTGCTTGTTATTGTAGGAGAGTGTCTTTAAGCTTAACTGATTTTATTTGCTAACACTGTGGGGTAGAAGTTTGTGCTGATACCTGGGATCCTGAAGGTTTGGTATGGCTTTAATGTCACACTGTTCTTTACTAATTCCAGTGTAAATACAAGGCACGAGTATGTGAGTTTTGTTCTTTTCTCCATCCCTCTCTGTCCAAGAGTTCATGCACACAGGAAGCAATGTCCTGTTTTGCTCAAAATCCTTGGAAGGCAGAAATACCAGGCATGGATAATCTAGATACTTGGCAGCCTTCTGGCCCTGCCCTGCTCTGCCCCCTTGCTGCCTAACTCAGTATGTTTCATACTTGTTTCAGAACTAGAGGGTATTTTGTTCCATTTTTATGAACTGTCTTTTATTACGTTTGTTTCTCGATACTGCTCCCTTGTGTAACAATCCCCAAGCTCTCTTCTGTGCACACAGTCCTGTTACAATACTGCTGCTGGTCTGAACAGTGCCAGGCTGATGGTTGTTACTGTGTTGCAGTGCCTTTGTTGGGAAAGGAAAATACACAGAGAAAATTGAGACAATGGCATGTATGTCCTGCCTTTCAGAAAGGAGAGGAAGAGCCCCTTTCACACTGCAGGAGTAATCTCTACTACACTCCTGTTCTGGGATAATATCACCATGGCAGGCTGGAAAACTCTGTGGGAATTGAGCTGAGCATCCCATGCTCATTCCACAGCCGCAAGCTAGAGAACTACGGCAGGGCACGCTGTGCAAACAGAAATAGCCAAGGTTAGAAGAACATACAGCAGCACCTCACTGGACAGCCATAGCAGCTAATTGCATTGCATTAAACCCATTCCTGTTAACACCCCAAGTACTGGGTTAGTAGAGCAATCCAGGCTGAGTTCCCTAATCACTACTGTAACCCCACTTGTGATGAATCAGCCCCAGATGGATTCCAGCACTAGTGATGGGTGTAATCCCTGCAGATACTGCAGATCTCATGTAAGAAGGGCACCACCAAGATTAACCCCTACTCAGAAACACTGTCCTGAAAAAGTTTCTCTGGACTTCATATTCTCACCACCTAACAGTCCATATTCCATACAGCCCAGGAAACCACTAACCCCTTAGTCACAGGAGAAATACTCCCTCTAAAAAAAAGAGAAGAAGCCATCAAAAAGCCAAAAGAGGAGCTACAAGGAGAAACAAAATATATGGGACAATTAAATTGTCTGATCACTCATGCTAAGATGCCTCACCAAACAAGGAAGAACTTAAAGCCAATAAGCAAAGAAAGAGAACGGGGACCCATGCAGTGGGAGACACAGACAACATGTAATATGGGTTAAAATCTGTGATCCTGAGGCTCAGATATTCTCCTGACACAATGAAGGGGGACAGAAGGTAGGAGATCGCTGTAGTGAGCTGTTCATAGTAAGCATTTGAAGCAGTTTTTGGAAAGCAGCCATGCAAACCCCAAGGACAAGGACATCCCTTAAGTTCTGTGGCCAACCTCCTCCACACCCAAATCCAACCTGTATGTTTTTGCTGGAGGTAGGCGGGAAGTAGGGTGAGGGGGCATTTTCCCTTCTTAATCCGAATCTTTGTTCCCAGAACACCCTTGAGGGGCATGTCTGCTCCTTCAGCCTGGGTCCATCCTACCTGCAGGTGTGAGAGACTTGCCATGTTACTCAACTGTACAGGCATTCACTGGATATAGTCAGTGAGCCTTCCCAGGCCAGTCATGCTGCCAATAAGTTGTCCTCATTATTTGTCAGCAGAGAAGCCTGGAGATTCACTGACAATAGCGAGTATGTCCTCCATCTCAATGGACCTTGTTCTGTAATGAATCCAGTATGACAAAAGCTTTCCCGAGTCTGGGAAGAATGACCAATACAGACAGGGTGGGCACCTGCCTTGTCATCATCAGTAAAGTCCAGTCACTGCCATACAATTTATTCATCTATGAACACAACAGACCTAGGTCATGCTGACGCAGTGCAAAATCATTAAATCCCACTGTACCATCCCAAGGGCTGCTTCCCAAGCATTTTCACTGTGCCACTCAACGCCAGGTACAACCAAGAACTTTTTCATATCATCTCAAAGCCTTCTGCATAACCCCAGGGCTCACACGCATACAGTCATTAATTTATGCACCTACACCATAGGCTATATTGGAGTCTGCTACCAATGACAGCCCACCACAAGCAGTTTTCTGTGATGGTATCTTCTACCTTTCACTCTATGTAAAAGTCCTGGTCGAAGACAAAACTGATAAGCACACTGATAAATAATAGTTCCCTTTGCTGATTACGCTTACACCCTCGTAATTCCCCATTTACCTGGGATGTGCTTTGCCCAGCCAATGATCACCACTAGTTCCCTGTCTGCCAGGTCACAGAGGGTTGTCAGGGCTTTGATGTCACTCTCCGGCATGGTTGGATCAGGCATGGCATAAATCTTCTCTGGCTCAGCCACCAGCAAGTGAGAGACGATCTTAGTCACTGCACATTTCAAAGGAGAAGTTGTTGTTGTATCTCTCATGACATAAGGTGTCACAACAGCCCTTTCTAGAAGGACCTTCCTGGGTAAGATGTGACCATAGGGCCCATAGGACCTCAGAAATGGTTTTGGTCACAAGGGGAGAAGACTACATTGCAGCTACACAAGCTGCAGTGATCTGCCTATGCCAAACCTGCTCTGTACAGGGATGACAAAGGCAGGAAGCTACTGCAAGGTTGTCAGTCATTGTCTCAGGTAGGTCCAACAAGGGGAGGAGGAGGCATGAATAATCAGTTGGTGGCATGTGGAAAGGTTTAGAGAACCATGGGTAGTATGGAAGAGAGAAATCAGCATAGGACCAGTTTTGTTAACATAACTTGGGTACAGTAAAAGATCAGAATATCACTAAATGGATTTACATAATCTTGTAGGAAAGGTCTTGTATTTAACGCAGGGTACAATGAATACAGCACCTGGGCTGTACCTTCAGTGTACCTAATCTACCTTTGCAGTATGATCATAAGAAAAAAATCTTAGAGTTGGTGACTGGTATGGGAATCAGAAGTGACAACTGCTCCATTGTACGTTTTGGGAGACCAATAAAAAGAAACTTAGTGGTTGCTCAGGGAACCACAATTTAAGACTAACACATACGTGGCTTTTTAGCTGGTGGAGGGATCTGTAAGCTCAGGTAAGTGCTACTCTCAGAATCCAGTCTCCTTTTGTATTTCTGTCGGCCTCCACGGACTCGATCCAGACGAACACCTGCAGGTAAAACAAGATAAATCCTCATGATTCCTTAGTGCCACAGGGAACCTTGACATGCAGATGCTAAAATTTGCTAAGTAAGACATTCTCCACACTCCAGGGAGCTTCCATCTCCTGAACACCTGAGATCTCAGCTGAACCCAGCAATCCCAATAATACCAACTAGACTGCCTCCAGCGCTAACCGTGCGGCTGTGAGCTTTACTTTTATTCAAACATTAATGAAGACAGAAATTAACTCAAACTCTTGAATCACCATCAATCTGATGGGCAGATGAAAAGCTTCAGACCTCAGTGCCCTCTGGATGATCTTGCTTTTAGAAGAAAGACTTCAAATGTCAGTCAAACCTACAGTTATAAAAATAAGCTTTTAGATTGTTCTTAAAAATAAGAAATGTTCTCACTGTTTATATTTGAAAAAAGTTATCTATAGCAAATAGATTATGAACTGTGAATTCAAAAAATATATTCCAGCCTTGATCAAGTAAGGCCACTGTAATAAAAGTAGAACCCAAATAAATAGAAACAACCTCTACTACAATAAAGCAGTGATAAAGCTGAAGTAGGAAGATACTGAAGAATTTGTTGCAGCTCTTCCAAAACACAGTGATTCGAACTGCAAATAGCACACTGAAAACAGTTCCCAGTGACTGGGAAGCACCAGTGACTGTCACCATGCAAAAAAACACAGCAGCATCAACAGACCAGGAACAACAGCTGAACAGCTATATTAGTACAAAATACAATGTTAAAAACAAATCATGAAAAAAGCCATAGATATTTGTCCAATTGTCAGTTGTTTCTGGCCAGCCATATAGTCTCTGGTAATCAGTTCTTGTGAAATTGGTGTAATTCAGTCTTGCTGGGAAAAACAGCTATTGCAGTTAAAAAAAAAATCTTTCAAGGTAAATGTAGGAGCATTCAAATACAAGAAAAATTTGACTTTACACTGCACAAGTTCTTCCTTAGAAGCACGAGGAGAGTTTATCTAGTCTGACTGCAAGAACTAATTATGTGATACAATTACTAATCACATTGAGCCATTAATATTTTGCAATCAATCCACTCCATAAACACAAACAACTAAAAGCAAACACTCCAAATCAGTTTTGAAGTGATGCTTTTTGAACAACTTGTGCACCTGAAAGAACCTGCAGTTTACTGACAAATATTGTGCCCTAGAAAGAGGCACATCTGTGTCACACTGTGTTTCAGTGCCACGTTTGCTTACTATGCCACGGGAAAGAGAAAGCTTTTACTGTAATGGTTACACCAGTCCCACTTGTGCCACATGAAGCCTTTACTTGCCACAACATCAAGATCCTGATATTCTTCACCACTGGAGCACCCAAACCAGCTTGACTGACAGACCATACCAATAGCCCCCCCAACAGCAAGAATAACCAACACCAACCGGTTGGTTGTGCACTCAGTTATACAGTCTGACAGCAAGATCTCTCTGGCAGTAGCAACACCCACCTGGGGGCCCAGGTGGCATTACCTGTAAGCCATGGTGTGGGGGGACAGAGGCTCTCACAGGCACGATGTTATTAATGATATATGGCTGCTTCCTTTTAAGAGTCCTCCTGCTCCCACTGAGCAGGAGAAGAGGCATGAGCAGGCTTGGAGCTCACCAGGGTAATGGAACTGCTCCTGCAAGTGGCTGCTATGGGAGGATAGCAGGCATTGAAGATGGAGAGAAAGACATGCAGCCAAATAGGTGAACTCAGATCACGCTGAGTAATTTCCTTCCCCTGCCTCACTTTCTGTTTCTGACTCTGTGTGGAGAATTCACTGACAGCCCTAGGCATAAGTACCACCTTTCTCTTCCATTACATGGTAGTGTTTCTGAAAATGTTGCCTACTGATTTTTTCACCTCCATTCCCAGCAGCAGGTAGCCTGTGAGCAAGACTCCTTTCTGGGAGCTCCGAGTTCTAGAGAGTGATTTCACAAAGGGCAGACAGGGAATTACCAAACCTGAGATTATCTAGGGAGATCCCTGAAGAACAGTACTAATAAACCCCTGGATTAAGCAGGAAACTTTCATTTCCATCCATGATTTCTTTCCCTCTATACATGTATCCTGGTTTCCTAAGAAAGAAGACATCTATTCCATGCTCTGCTGTATGAATGACACCTACCTATAAGCCAGGAGAGGAGGGAGACACAAATTTCAGGAACTGCTAGTAAACCAAGTAACCAGGACTGAAAATTAAAAGGGTCAGGAATATACTGTTCAAAGATTACGGAGGAATCCAGAACAGGCTGCAGGACTTCAGGTCTGAATCACAGCTCCCCAGGACCCTCACAGATGAAGGGACATAGGGGGGATCCATTCCCTCATGCCAGTGGGCAGGATGTCATTGGTGTAGGGAGACAGGGAGACATCATTCTCAGCCCAGGAAAAACCAACACAGAGCCCTCCAGGATGCTTTCACCATGCAGTTTGATAAGCAGCAGTGAGGGGGGACTGGGAGGGGTAGGGAGGAAATGGGGGAAGGAGCTTGTTTCCTTTTCCCAAGGAGAAGCATGCCATCCTCCAGTGCTTGGCAGAGGAATGGCTGCACAGGTTGCAACAGTATTAGGGACCCTCAATCAGATTATAAGGACACAAAGGACTTAAGTGCATTAAAAAAAGATAAGAGACACAGAGAGATTTACCCTCCATCCCTCCTTCCCTCGCTGAGCAGATAGAGGTCTGTTTGCCCAAGGACTTTGGCTTGTTAATTCTGAACAAGTGTTTGTCCTCCTCTTGTTCCCCATCCTGTGCAACACTCCTTGAGGCAAATATTTGCAATCAGCATCTGCAGAACCACTATTGTACCCTGTCGTCATCGCTCCAGCCGCAGAGCTGGTGAATAGGCTGACCCCTACGTAGTGCATCCCAGCATCAGTTGCTGAGTGCAGCAACCTGCAGGTGCTACAGCAAACAAAAGCATTTCAACCCAAGTCCCTGACTGTGACACTCCAGACATAAGCATCGTGGCAAAATTCCTTCCCCAAAGATCTGACAGCCTAATGGGTCATATCTAGATGGAAGGAAAGGGCACGGCCAAAAATCACAACCTGGTACTGAGCTGTGGTATTCAGGTGGCTTGTTAATGCCGCTGTTCTACTTTGATTTCCCCGGTGGTTGATTTTAAGATAGGCAGGCTGGCTACAATGCAGCTTGGAGAGGGACACTAAAGGACATTAAAATGGAGTGTGGAGGTACAGTGGGTGAGCTCAGAGAAGCAGCATGAAGGAAAGCACTGAGTAGAGAAGAAGTGGAGGGGAATGTAAACCGAGATATGAATGGAATTGAGAGTGTAAGGAGAAGGGAGATGAGAGAAAGAGAGGGCTGGAGCAAGGCTGAGTGGTACATACACTGTAATCCCAAGGGCAATTTCACACTAAATGTGCAGCCACCTGAGCTTTAACTGCAAGGTGCAGCAGCCACTTACAAGATGCAGCCGGTCCGTACTGAAGACTCTTACAGGATTTGGTGCCACAGCCTGACAAGACAGCAGCAAGAGAAAGCAGTTGCCTTCCAGCTCCTGGACAAAGCCATTTCTCACATGGATCACAACTGGCCAGTTCCCAGGAGAGAAGGAACTCATCCCACACAACTGTCACCGCCATAGGCACTCCTGGACCTCCCTTCTTGAGTGTATCAGCAAGGAGGGTCTGCTAGAGCAGTAAAGCAGGGTGGGCTTACATACACAATGTGTGATGCAACAGTATAGGGCAAGGTTTGGGAAGTACCACCCCTTGATAACTTACCTTCCTGGCAGCTGCTTCTTTACAAATGAAGGCTATCTGTGCTGGAAACATCCTCTCTCTTCCCATTCCTGCGTTGCAAGGAAATGCTGCTGCTCACTGAATCGTGTTACCTTTTGAGGGACCCTGCAGAAGAGTCCTGGCATCCCGGTGTCCGCCATAGGGATTGAGTCCCAGCTCAGGGGCAGCAGGGTCTCAGCTCCCCAGCCTGTCTGAGCCCCCTCTGGCCTAGCAGGGAGGCAGGCAGGGCCAGGACTAGCGCAGGACTTTTCGGCTCAGCATCCTGCCTGGGGTAGGGATGTCAGTTTTCTAAGCGTCCTGTGGGTGCCACTCGTGTTCCAGGCGCTCTTGCAGAGAGGTCTGTGCCAGCATCAAGCCTCTGCAGTGGGAGAGCTGATCTGCTGATCTGTTCAAGCTCCCTGCATTTCTCTGACATGCCCCTCGGAGAGACGTCTGCCTGACAACTTTGGGATCAGATGTCCCCTTGCTGACCTGATAACATCAGGCTTTGGGGTTTTTTTCTTAATGGAAGTAAAATAATTCCAGCTTTTTTTAAAAGCTGGACTCAGGCCGAGTCTGTCGGAAGTAAAAATAGCCGAGTATGCAGAGGCGACAGCACACAGAGTCAGGTTTAGTTTCTCTTTTATTTTCTGGGGACTAAAAATACTCTTAAAAGCTCTGTGAAGCTAAGCCCTGGCCAGTGGGAAGTGCAGTCTAGGCCCAATATCAGCTGTCGTGTCAAATTACTAGCCTCACCTCACTTTCAATCGAGTCCTATCACATGCCCACGAATTGATAGGAACAGAAAGATCTATCTTGCCAAAAGAGCTAACAGAGGAGCCAAGCTACAGGGTTTGCACGGTACAGTATGTGTCTAGACCAAGAAGGACACAACCAAAGGGAATACAGGGCAAGTGCTGGCCAGGGAGCAATGCCCACCAGGCTGCCTTTGCTGAGCTTCCACAATACACCAACACGCCAGGTCCTGTGCCCACTGCCCACCTAATCCTTGAGATGCAGTTTTTGCATCAATGCAGCCTGCTTGCTCTGCCAGGGTCTGAGCTGGGGTGGTGCTCTGTGGCTAACAGAGATGCCCCTGTCCCCAAGAGCTGCAGTCTAAAGTACATGGATTGGCACTGCCCAAGGAAGCTGGAAGGCGTAGGCTAAGAGCAGAGAAGAAAGTAAGGGAGAATGGTTGTGCCTAAGGTGTCTCCTACAGAATTTCCCTCTCTCTTTTT